TGGGAGCGGGGGGGGCGGGGGGGGGGTGGGGGCGGGCTGGGGGAGATCGGGAGGAGGAGGACGGGAGAATCAGCTGCCGGAAGCAGGGCTGGACGGGGGGCAGTGGGGCTGGTCAGAGGGATTGTCAGAGGAGCAGGGCTGACCGGGGGAGATTGGTGCAGGGCAGGGGGTGAAACACTGAAAATTTATTCTTTTTTTGGTATATGCGTTTATATTTTTGGGCTGCAAAAAACAGTACTGAAAAGAAATGGGTTCCAACTAAAGTAAAAAGTTTGGGAAACCCTGGTCTAGCCAGCTTTCAATCCATCTTAGAGTCCATTTATCCAATCCGTATTCCCTTAACTTGTTGGCAAGAATATTGTGGGTGACTGTATCCAAAGCTTTGCTAACACTGGCACTGGGGACTTTGGGAGGACCAGAAACAACTTATTTGAATATTCATCATATGCTTAATGAATATGCAAATATGCAAATGAATGTTATCAGTCCTCCAAAAACTCATGAATGAATGTACTGGTCCCCGTGTCAAAAAGTTTGGGAACCCCTGTCCTAAGGAAATGGTGATATTAAACCCAATAAGTAGTCATTTAAAAACAACATTGAATTCTGTTCAACAGAATGTTGACATAATTAATGTTCATCCACTGAGTTTTGTTATATGAAACAACTTGATTAGTCTACAGCAGCCTTCATCCTACAGGATTCTAAGATATTTTATGGATTAAATACACGGGGACCACTGAACTACATCTAGAAAAGGAGAGTTCTGTTGCATCAAAAATAGGAAAGTGAAGGCCTTCTGTATTATAAACTGTAAGAAGTTTTAGGATGGCTGATTTACTACTTGACACAGAGTTTGAAGTTGGCTTTAATAGTCTTATTCTCACAATTAGCATTTGCAGCTAAGAGGGATCAGGGGTTTAGGTTTATAGCGTAGCTGAACAACTGCAGCTCCGTGCCCCCAGTACCATACTGGGCAGGTGAACACCTAAGTGATCAGCGATACCATTTCCAGCATTGCCACCTAGGCCGTGTCTTAGGCGAGTAGTGATCCCAGCCCCGCTCTAGTCGGTGTAGGAGAGGTGGCTGGGTCTCAGCCTGAGCTCACAGGGCTGAACTGGCCCGGTGCAATCTGGCACCCTCGTTCCCCGGCCCCACCAGCCCCGCGTCTCTTCTAGGGACCGGCTAGGGCTCAGCAAAGACTTTCTCACGCGAGGTCTGAGGCCGGGAACACGGTGACCCCCCGCAACAGGGCCCCGCCACGGGCCGAGGGACTCGCCCCCAGCACCCAGCCCCGCCCCCGGTTCCTGGCTTTTTCCCCGCCCCAACGGCGCCAGCGCTGTGGCCCAGCCCTGGCCCCGTCCCCGCGAGGAGGCGCTGTCATCCTGAGAGCGGCTCCGCATTCCAAGCACCTCTGCAGGGCCATTCCCATTGGGCATAACCCTCAACTTTAATCCCGCCCACAAGACAGCGGCTTGTGTCCCGATTGGCTAACATTCCTGTCACTCACACTAACCGGCGGTTGACCACGATCTGCGATTGGCTGTTCTCCCCATCCACCCACCCACACACGCACCCAGCGCGCCTGACCACGCCCCGCGCCCCTCACTCACTTTGACCGGCTTGGGCAAAATGGCGCCGCTACGGGTGGCGATCTCGCCCCGCCAGGGTACAACGGTCACCGCGGGGCCGCTGCGGAGCCCGCCGGGCCCCGCCCGCCCCCGCGAACCGGCCGCTGCCGCCAACAAGCGTCCTGCCAAACCCGCCATCTTCCTGTCTTCGGCCGCCCTGCCCCGCCGGCGGCACTATAGCGACGCGCCCAGGGCGGCGGTGCCTCCTCAAATCTCGCGATGACGGGGAAGGCGGCGGGCTGAGGCGGGTGCTGGCTGCAGTGCGCATGCGGAGGGCATGACGGCTAGGGAGGGGCTGCTGCACTGTGAGTCACCTGCACCCCGCCTCCAGCGGCTGTGTCAGTGCCCCCCTCCCAGTCAGTCACGGGGGCGCTGCCCCACCCCAGCGCTGTGCCTGCTGTTACTGCCTCTCCGTGTAACACTGGGGGCGCCGGTCCCTTCGCCACAGCCCTGCACAGCGTCCAGCGATACCAACGCCGCTGCCCTCCGGGGGAACACTGGGGATAGGAACTTGTATGATTTAACTCAGGGTCAGCACTTTACTTAACAGCACAGCATTCAGCTAGCCTGTAGTAAAATCAGGAATCAGATTATCCATTCAAAAGCCAAGTGAAAGTTACACAAACTATACAACAAGGCTGCATCTACACTGGCATGATTTTGCGCAAATACTTTTAATGGAAAAGTTTTTCCGTTAAAAGTATTTGCACAAGAGAGCATCTATATTGGCATGTGCCTTTGTGCAAAAGCATCCATGCCAGTGTAGACACTCTCTTGTGCAAGAAAGCGCCAATGGCCATTTTAGCCATCAGGCTTTCTTGCGCAAGAAATTGATGTTACCTGTCTACACTGACTTATCCCTGAGCAGGAGCATCAGAGAATTTGCGCAAGAAGCACTGATTTTATACAGTATAACATCAGTGTTCTTGCACAAATACTAGCAGCCAGAGGACACAGGCGGCAAGATTTTGTGCAAAAGCAGCTGCTTTTGAGCAAAATCTTGCCAATGTAGACACAGCCCAATAGATGTAACATTCTTTTTAGAGACTAACAAGTTATCTGCTTCGCTAAAGAAGTGTCTCCCAACCTCAAAGTCCTCACCAGCATTTGAGCCACAGTTGGCTGAGATCCATTTAAATGTATGTAAATACACTGCTCATTTATTTCCAAGGTGCAGAACAAAGGGTGTCCTGTCTTTGCCTTCTACTTATATCAAAGTTTACTCAGTTAAGCTATAGGGTAACCACCCATGGCTTAATTTTTCTGGGTACTGTTGCTTACTTCACATTTATCTGTTGACTTCATATATAAATGGATAGAGCCCTATATGATTACAAATTTTTTATCCACAAAAATGAGCCATAGATAGCTGCATTAACATCCATGGATATAAAGTGGATATCCGTTGGACATCTGCAGGGTTCTAGTCTAGATACATTATTTGTATTCACATCCATATCCGCACAAATGAGCTGTGGATATCTGCATCCATATCCAGAGATGTTAGTGCAGATCTCTGTGTCCTGAGAAACTGGTGAATAATCATCTCTTGTCTAACAGAAAACCTGTTTCTCTACCAGAATCTACAAACTTAGTTTGAGCATATAAACATGTTTGCAACTATATTAATGACCAGTGGGAATCCAGCTTTCACTTGAAACTTCACACAACATTCTTTGGTGAATAAGAATGCACGCACCAATGTCTGGACATTCCTATGACCCAGTGGGCATTAAGGAATTCTTGAGTCACAGTGGGCTCTGTAAGGACCCTATGCTTCTGCTGGAATTTCTGTCACATCTCCTGAGCCACACTCCTGAAGAGGCAACCGCTGACACAGCAAGATGGACTAGGGATTCTTTAATGAACAGAAAAAGCCTGACCAGACAGGCTGTTTCTCCATGGCTGTGGCACTCTCATCAGATGACAGACTAGCCTAGGTCAGAGTTTGGAGGGAAGACCTTTAAACAGGAACCTGTGTGCAGCAGGAAGTGTTGAAGCATCACAGGGCATGCTTCTCTCCGAGTCAGCACTGTATCAGTACCCCAGCCTCTTGTGAAAGGATGCTGTGTTGCCACCTTTCAGATAAAACTAAGGCCCTTATTGCTTGACTGTTATACCGATAAAGAGTTTTGCTAGAGTAGAGAATATTGGGAATCTATCCAAGTCTGTATCAGATTCTTCATTTGATGTCTTGATCTGTTTGGTTCTGTACACTGCTGTGCAGTGTAAAATAGCTGCTACAGTCTACAATAGTGCTAGTGCTGGCATATAGTATATACAGGGCTCTGTAATCCCATCCCCCCAGGTAATTTAAATTACTTTCCCCCACAGCCTGGTTCAAAACACAACATTTTACACAACTTCATACAGAAGGTGCATCAGTGTGTTGAATAGAGCATGTAATTAAAGGAAAAGAGAAGCTGAATATCTGTGAATGAGCTGTGAGGGGGCAAGAGCTGTTATGCTGTGGCAACCCTGATGTTGCAGGTCATTTAAAACTCTGGTTCAATATCAACACACATTACAACTTCAAAACCTGTTTATTCAACATTGCTAGCTTAAAATACAAATGTTAAGAATTAAATGTACAGTAACATACTGTTTTGTGTAAAATAAAGGTCATGCAAAACTGTCCTCTTTCAAAAATACAATATCTACTTAAAGTTTAAACATTTTAAAATAACCGTGGAAAAACATACCACAAATAGTTCTTAGTGTTCTTTATTAAGTTGTCCAGACTTTATAAGTGAATTTGGTGCGAGTGATTAATTAGCACTGGAGACTCATCTCCACTTAATCCAAGATTCCTACTGTCACTTCCTGTTACTTGTCTGGAGATGTCACCTGCAAGGTGAGCAGGCCTATTTGAAGCTTTGGCTTCTCTATTAAGTCACCAAAAAAAGCCCCAAAACCCTGCAATTGACTGGGAACAAATATGCCACTGAGACATAGTCTGCAACTCTAAATTTATGTGGCTCCACCAGCCAAGTGACATATTTTGATTACTATCAGCCCAGTCTCAATTTGAATCAAGTGGCAAACATCATAGTAGGTTTTTTTTTTTAACAACAAAGTGCAGATAAATAAAGCTATAAACCAAACAGGTCTGGAAATGAGCACCCTCAAAAGACTACAATGACTTTAGTTAATACTTTGGCAGGATCAGACCCCATATTTGGCAGAGTTCATGAAAAACATACCAGAACAACCAGCATCCTTTGATTACTGAAATGATAGAAACATTAATATATGACAGAAAGAGTTGTTCGTATTGTAACAAAGATTTATAGCAAAGAATAACCCCGTTTGAGTTCCTTCAGAGGGACATCCAACAAACTTGAAAACATTCAATCATCTTTTGCTAGGAATTCTGGTCAGAGATTTTCACTGTTAAAGAATTATGAAGAAGAGGGAGGTAAATAAGCAGCCCCAACCTGAATGATTGGGAGAAAATTTGGCTAAAAGCTGTATCTCAGTTTGTTGCAGGGCAAACTGTGCTGGCATTCAGTGCCATACCTTGGCCCTGTGTTGACCTGTGCCTGAAGATACAAAGGCAGCATTGTGCGTTAGCTAACTTAACTGTGCAATATCAGAGAATATACATCCTGACCTTCTGCCTGGGGTGTGGTTCAAAGGCAAAGTCAACAGGACCAATAAACAGGTTTGACATTCTATCCAATAGAGGGCAGTGGTGAACACACGCTAGCTAATGATCCCCTGGCAAAAGGAGCACTTTTTGCCTTTGCTCAACCAGCAGAGAAAACTAACTGCATATCAGCAGCTCATTGCATAGACTCAAATGTGATTTTTAAAGACAACAGGTGCCAATGCCTAGTATGGAACTGGAGTGAGATAGGGATGAGGAAAGCCCTAAATCAGTGCATCTAAATTCATGCTCCACCCCATAACCAAATTAAGTCACGAATACATTTGCAGAACAAACACAAATATCAGTCATTTTTTTTGGTTTCTCATCACTCACAAGAAAAAATTATCCCAAACACGATCACACACTCTATTATTTTGCCCCTGGTTCCCAGGGCTTAGGGATAATAAGAATCAAATATATATATAAAAAAAAAAATCAGAAAAAGACCGGATGCTTGAAGATTATACTGTGGGTCACATTCACTGCGCGCGCGCGCACACACACACACACACACACACACACACACACACACACACACACACACGCTATGAAGCTAGGTAGTGTGAAAACTGTGTAAAAAGGCTAGGCAAAATAAAAAATATTAAAGCGTTTAACAGCATTACTAATGCTACTTAGTCTTATTAAAACAAAGACTGTTAAAAATCAAACTGATTTCAAATCCATCAGACCATTGTAATTTCAGCTCCAAGGGCAAAACTGGCTTGATTACTTATTTTCTTTTTCAAGTCACTTTCTCTTCTTAGTTCTCAGGCACAAGGACAGTGCTGGTGTCTTTTGATTTTCCACAGTAGAAGATAAGTCTTAACCTTCCAAACACTGTACAACTGCTTTTTGTTGACTTTAAAAAGTCACAACAATATTTCTCTCTGGATTAATTTATAAACTTTTTCTGCATCCCGACCCCAGGCAATAATCCTAGGACAGAACAGAAATTGGAGTCTGCACTAGTTGACAAAGTCCCATTTAACTCATGAATACAGCAGATACAAGTAAAGGGGTGGAGATTTTAGCCAAAGAATGCCATACAAAAACAAAATGCAGCAGTGAACATACAGGTTGTGTTGTCCACAGCTCAAGATTGTGCCTTTTGATTGTCTACGATTATTTGTTTTAGGATCCAGTTTCCCCTAACAGAGCAGTAAACAACAGCAGGGCACATATGAGGAAGGATATTGGTACACCATGCTGAGGGGAGATTTTCAAAGGTACAAATGGTGGTTAGGCACAGTTGGCAATTGAAGCTGGAGGTCTGATTCTCTTTTGTGCCTTTGGAAATTTCTCCAGTGCATTTGGAAGAACAAGGCTGAATGCTTCAACCTGCCAAGAAGTGTACCAATAGTCTAACAATGCACAAGCTGGAACTGCTCATCACTCTTATGATACAGTTCATTGTGCCTATGAAGTGACAGGTGGTGCACCCACGTACCACCCTGCCCCTCATTGCATCCCCTTATCTTCCATAAATACTACAGCAAATTAAATACACTTGTAGCTATGCTTATTCTATAACATGCAACAAGGTGGGCAGTGACCCACAGATCCCAGAACCCCTCACCTCTGTCAAGAATTTTTGGGGGATGGCAGGTTCTACAACAGGCTTGTGTAAATAACAATTGGTTACTGAGTTGCACCTGCACTTATGCTTGACTCGATCATGTGATCCAGAACCTTTGGTGGCCTTTTACATTTCATCTCTGTAGCCAACCTATGCTATAATGCATTATTGTATATACTGTACAAGAATCGATCCTAGTTTTGAAGTCTGGGAGACCAATCTGAGACCACTCAAATCAGACAGAATGAAACAGGCATAAAACATCACCAGGGACTGATTAAGGTGAAATATGGCCCCTGGACCAGGCAAAGCCATGGGGCCCAAAATCTGCTTGAGTCCAGGCCAATGCATAGTGGGAGAGCTACAAAGCTTCAGGTGCTCTTCAGAGCCACTCTGTTCAATCCAGTCTTAATTCACCATTAATAGTTCTGTGGCTCAGAAGGCACATAAGAGGGACACAAGAAACCATTTTATAAAAACTAACAGGCAATAGATGCTCCTTACCTCTAATCTAAGCAAAGATTTGGTTGCTGAGGATAAATCAGAAGGGATTGTTCAAAGAAGGGGTAACAATAAAACACACCACTCAATCCACTCCCTCAGATTGGTATGGGATAAAAACAGCCCTCTGGATGAAAGAAGAGTGATGCCCATTTTGTGTGTGCTAGTCTGATCCCTCTCTGCACTCCATAGCCTCCATCCAAGATTCAAAATCTAGACCTCCCGACATTTTCCAGCCCTGCTCCAATATGCGTCAGAGAAACACACACTGCCTGGGACCCAAGAAGTGAAAACAAGATATTGGGAAGATCTGTGTCTCTCCTATATCCCAGAGCCACTCACCCAGCACACTGTGATTCTAGAAAGGAAGGAGCTAGAACATTGTCCCTTATTTGGCTATTTTCCTGGATGGGGAAAGAGATCACCAAGCACAGCAACAATACTCTCAGAATGGGCTTACGTGTCACTCCATGCCTTGCCTCCTGCAGATCACAGTTCCTTGCTCCTCTGGCTTTCCATCCACTCCCTCCTTAGCTCTGCTATCTCCTGACCATACCAGTTGTGTAGCTTGGAAAAACACACTGTCTCCGGAGACACAGGGCTTTCCTGCCCAGTCAGAGCAAGGCCAAAGGCGGGTGCTCCACATCCACTGCCAGCTGCCAAGCGCCGGCGAGGAGGCAAAGGTGGAGGCTTGGAACACCCCCCGTTGTGGTCAGAGCAGGATGCCCCTGCAGGGATGTAACCACAGCCCCATGTAGAATAACCGTTCTCCAAGATGGGAGGTTGTTCCTGGACGGGCGCCATAGCAGGATTGGACAAATGCCTTTTTCTGCCAGATGACAACTTCCTTGGAGATTTGCGGCAGGCAGCCAAGCTCTTACGAGCATCCTCCAGCTGTTTTTCCAGCTCTCTCACCACCAAACGCATGTAATCAAAGCTGGCTCGTGACAATGCCTTCACCCAGGCCTCCATGGTGGCCTGGCTGTCAGCCACCAGCACGTAGGCCTTGGCACCGGCATCATCGAAGCGGATGGCAAAGGCAAACTCCTCAGCAGCCTCGCACAGCTCCACGGTGCAGCCCTCCAGCACAACAAGCCCCAGGGGGTCCCGACTGTCACGATCTTCAAAATAGAACAGCAGGTTGCCCTTGAGAATGAACCAGCGCCGGTGGTAGGAAGTGGTATGGTGATGGTGGTGGTGCCGCTCGACGCGCTTGTGAAGGAAGCCAGCATGGTCTGCCGGAGAGTCACATGTGGCGTAATGTGCCACACTTCGCTCGTTCAGCTTCATCGTCCTGGCAGGGCAAAATCAGACAACACAAAAGAGTCAATACAAGGAGCAGCTCCTGCATTGGACTAGACTACTGAGCCAGTTAGTACAGTGTCCAGTCCTTTGCTTAGCAATCATGGCTTAATATTAAAGAGGATGGTGTAAATACCACATACACATACATGCTGCACCTTACTGAGCAGTACAAGATCACAGGGAGAAACATCATCCAGATTCCAGTAAATAATCATCTTGATGTCTACAGCGCAATGTTTAATCCAAGTGTTGACACAGATGTTGAGCCAGATCATCAACTAGTGCAAAAAATTGCACAGCTCCACTGACAGACAGCTTTACACCAGCTGACGACCTGTGGCCTCTGATTCTGTTTTATTCAAAAAATTACTTCTTTAAATGTGTGTGAGTGTCACTCTTTACTGTAATAATGTCTTACAATGGTGAGTTCCACAGATTAATTGGACGTCACAAAGTTATTTTCCATTTATCCTTTTTACATTGTTTGTCTGTTAATGCTGCTGAGTGCACCCTCGCTCTAGTATTATGGAACAAGATAAACAGACTGGCTGCGTCTAGACTGGCAAGTTTTTCCGCAAAAGTAGCTGCTTTTGTGGAAAAACTTGCCAGCTGTTTACACTGGCCGCTTGAATTTCCGCAAGAACACTGACGACCTCATGTAAGATTGTCAGTGTTCTTGCAGAAATACTATGCTGCTCCCGTTCGGGCAAAAGTCCTCTTGCGCAAATGCTTTTGCGCAAGAGGACCAGTGTAGACAACGCGGTATTGTTTTGTGCAAAAAAGCCCCGATCGCGAAAATGGCAATCGGGGCTTTCTTGCGCAAAACCGCATCTAGATTGGCACGGATGCTTTTCCGCAAAAAGTGCCAATCTAGACGCTCTTTTCCGCAAATGCTTTTAATGGAAAAACTTTTCTGTTAAAAGCATTTGCGGAAAATCATGCCAGTCTAGACGTAGCCACTGTGATTTTCAAACTGAGCAGTGTCTGATGCCTACTCTCAGCAGCAAATGCATCCTCTGTCCTCCCACTTCTCGTCTACAAGAACAGCAGCAGCCCTCTCCCCTAGTCTCTTTGCCTCTATGCTGCAGCCTAGGTTGCCCAGCATTTAGACAGGATCAGGGATGAGGACAAGGAGAGATCTTGCCATACCAGATAGGATAGTCAGACTGCAGGTCACTGGCCCCTTTCCTGAGCAGGATGGCTCTTTGACAAGAATCCACAGTGCTCCATCCTTCTGCACTCCATGTCCAGTCAGAGGGGAGGTGCCGAAGACAGAGTCACAGAGTCGAGGGCAGCTTGGAACATTTAGACAGGATCAGGGATGAGGACAAGGAGAGATCTTGCCATACCAGATAGGATAGTCAGACTGCAGGTCACTGGCCCCTTTCCTGAGCAGGATGGCTCTTTGACAAGAATCCACAGTGCTCCATCCTTCTGCACTCCATGTCCAGTCAGAGGGGAGGTGCCGAAGACAGAGTCACAGAGTCGAGGGCAGCTTGGAACTGAAGTACAAGGTCACATCACTCAAATACATATCCCCCATCATAAAGTCAATAGAAGGAACCTGAACAGAATCCATACTGGTGACAGAGCTGAGCACATGTTCACCAGGATTATCTGAACCACACTGCAGCAGGTGCTGAGCTCAGACACTCAGCCATTGGCTAGCAAGGGAGTTCTAGTCTAGAGATAAATTGGATCCCAACTCAGCTGTGTGTGGCTCAGTACTGTTTCCTTTTGAGACAGAGTCTGGACAGAGGTTTTGTGGCTGATTCTGGAGCCTGGGTAGCTTTTTTTGTTTGTTTGTTTGTTTGTTTGTTTTCTTACAAGGGAGCGTATTTCCAGAAGAATTTCCGTATTCCATCAGCATGCTGTATACAGTGAATCATAAATAATGTTATGAGTGAGGTCTTTTCACTCTGCCAGCCTGCTGGCACATATTCTCCAGCTAAAACTCAGGACAAAGAAATGCACAAAACAAGAGGGTTGGACTGGATTATAAACCACAACCTTCACTCCAACCCAAGCAGCATTCAGGATTCTCCTCCTCCTCCTCCTATCTTCCTGCCTTATCAATTAGGCTATAAAATCCCCTCCCCTGCTAGAGTCCAAAGTGGTTCTCCCTAGGCAGTGCTCTACAGGCAGGGACACAGAGCCCAATTCTCCCTTCACGTCTGATAGAAGTGATTCCATTGATCAATGTAAGTGAGAGGAGAAATCAAGCCTTGCTTTTTCCTAGGTGTATGGACAGCTCATAAATCATGGCTGACACTGGAATCCGTTAATAAACAATAAGCCTCCACTACCCTCCTGCAACTCTCCATGTCAACTGCTGTATATCTGAGAATGGTGGAAATAAATCCTGGAGCATAACACGGCCCTGCATGGCCCAATTCTGCCTGTAGCTGATGGAAGAATGAATTTTAAAGTGTTTCCCTTTGAAATATAGAAGCTGGACAGAGGTGATATTGCTCTACTGAATTCAGCCTTCACTCCTGCTCTTGGATTTGGTACAAAGGACCTCCTTCGAGTATAAGGATATTGCCACTCTTGCTCACAATACAAGCACCACAATTTCTCTGCATTTTCCTCATCCCCATATCACTTGCAAATCAACACCTTAACTCTTCAAGGATCCCCATTCCCAACAACAGAGAGGCATTTATACAGAAGTCTGAGCCTTACATGAAAAATCCCATACCGTGTAAGGACTTTGTCTTTGTCTGCAAATGGCCTGCCATCTTTTCGCTGTTACACACACAAAAAGAACAATCATCTTGTTCACATAAAGGATGTGATTACCACTGGGTGGCTGGTAGCTGCAGCCAGTTTTCTAAGCCCATGATTTCAAATGCAAGCAAACTCACAGAAAGGGAAGTTCTGTTGTGTCAATACTCTCTTCCATCCAGGACACACATTACATCAGGGCTGGGCAAAAGGGCCTTCACAGGCCAGATCCGGCCCGCAGGCCAATTAGTTCTTGGGAGCCCGCAGTTATTTAGTTACATGCCTCTTAACAGCCCTACTCTAAGGTGCACAGGACTCTTTATTTTGAGCAAGTTTTTAATTCACTTAAAGTGTCCCGTGCTGAATCATATCACTCTCAGCTTTTTAAACCAAAAGGTCACAGGGCGCCAAGTCAAGCAGCTGCTAGAAGACTAAGTATATTACAAAATCTTGGCATGGGGGGAAGTTCACAGGAGTTTTGTCGCTGACTTCCGTGACAATGTGATTTCCCTAGGAGCCTACCTGGACTAGGGCCTCTTGTTTGGGAGATGCCATAGGGCCGTCAGCTTTGCTGAGACTGGGGGAGAGGCGCTCTCCAAGTGGGGCCGGCTGCGAAGCCAATCCCCCAGCCAGGAGCTCAGGCAGAGCCAAGTACAAAGGGCTGGAAGGGGGGAAGGGAGCGGAAAGGACTTTCCATCGGCTCCTACCAAGGGACGCTGCGCCCTGCTCCTACCCCGGGGCCTTTCCCGGAAGCCTGGCCCTGCGGGAATGCTGAGACTGGGGGAGAGGCGCTCTCCAAGTGGGGCCGGCTGCGAAGCCAATCCCCCAGCCAGGAGCTCAGGCAGAGCCAAGTACAAAGGGCTGGAAGGGGGGAAGGGAGCGGAAAGGACTTTCCATCGGCTCCTACCAAGGGACGCTGCGCCCTGCTCCTACCCCGGGGCCTTTCCCGGAAGCCTGGCCCTGCGGGAACTACCGGCTGGGGCCGCCGCGCTACAAAACCCGGAGGGCGGCGCCGGGATCACGCCGGCCCGGGCGCCAGGATTCCGAGCGGATCCGGGTTTTCTATGACACTGTGGGGCCGGGCTGGTCTCCCCACTTCCCCTCCCCCCCTCCCGGTCTGGTCCTGAGAGCCACGTAGGAGCAGAACCCAAGCAGCGCAGCACGTGCCTCCTTTGCACTTCATTCCCTGCGAGCCTCCCCCTAACCTGGGGGTGTACACGGGCCCCTGCTAGGCTTCTTGTTTGCCCCTGCCGCACCCCCCTGCCACGTTTACAGCTTGTTCAGCTGCAGAGAGGGGGAAAGTTAGAACTAACTTTTAGTTCTATAGCTGTGTGGCCCGCGTGGTGTGTCCCTAGTGAGGTGGGACTGTCCCTAAACGGGAGACACCCAGCGGGGTGGTGTCATGTTAACACACCCCTGTCCTTCCAAGACGTGTCCCTGCTTTTCTCTCCTAGCTTTGGTAGGCACACAGCTGCCCGATCATGCTCTCGTTAAAGATATTAGATATTATCCCCTGACAATATGTCCATTTGTCATAACAAGAAGACAACTTTAGGTGGGTAAGTCTTCATCCCTCTTGATTCTGTCTTCTTAGCTGAGATGGCATTCAAACTTTGCCACATGGCAATCAGCCCATGTGTCTGCAGTCTAGGAAGTGCCACTTCTTTATCATTCTTTTGTGAAACCGCAGAAGTGCATTGGTCTTTTGTTTCTTCACCTTGCTGACTTTTTTACATGCAAACTTTAATTGCTGTTTGGATCTCAAATGCAGTTGTGGTAAGTGCTATCAAATATCAGACTGACATTGCCATATTGTGACAACAGGGGATGAAACAAAACTTGAAATAAATGTGGGTTTCTTTAATGTTCCTTGGAACACATGGCAGAACTTGTAGATGGGGATTGTACAACAACTTAACATCACACATCCCCTAACAAGCAGCAGTAACAGTGGGTAAACAGCTGGTTTCTGTGACCACTCTCTTTTATGGGGACCAATACAGCCCCATTGCTTCCATCTGATCCCCCTGTTTGTTTTATCCACTTATTTTCTATGGACTTATACTTTGATTGTAAGATCTTTGGGGCTATGGCTCTTTTTATTATAGCTTTCTGAGGTACTAATTAGGCCCCCATTATTGTGGTATCTGAGCATTTCAGTCTTTAACATATCTGTGATGCTGGCAGGCCAGCTTTGCCAGCTCTTACCAGGGCTTTAGGCTTCAGACCAATACTGACAATTAATTCATTGCTGGAAGCCAGTCTGGGTCACCTGTGTGTTAGTATGCTTAAGGTGGATATTGGACCCATAACAATGTGTTTAGATTTTATGAAATGTTTGTGGTTGCTACATGCATTGATCACCCATAGTATCTTTATTCCAGGTGATCAGGTAATATTTAAGTTTTTGCTTTGTAACTCTAAAATTTTTTTGCTCTGAAACGACAAACCCGTAAGGAGGGATCATCTTGGGTGCGTCTACACTACACCATAACTAGAAATAAAATATGCAATTTGAGCTATGCAAATTGTGTGTATTATTTCTATGCTATTTTGAAATAGCTTATTTTGTCATTTGGCACTGTCTACACAGCACTATGTTTCAAAATAAAACGCAATTCAGAAACGTCCCTTACTCCTTGTAGAATGAGGTTTATAGGGACGTCGGAATAGCAAGCCCAAAATAACAGGCTTGCTATGAAGACACGGGATAGCTGTTTTGGGATACTCTGGTATCCCAAAATTTTGTTGCAGTGTAGACACACCCTCCTAACCATCAAGAAGGCTTACCAAAACTAAATGGGCCACTGTGGACAGCATAATACAAAGACTTACGAAGAGGCTTGATGCAAGAGGACATGCCCCATAAGCCTGGAAGAAGGGAATAAAAATAGTTGACAAGAAAATTTTTCATCTTTTTTGCTGTTTGGACTCTCACAAGGTTAAAGTTATGAAACAGAAGCAGAGATTCTCCAGGTCAAATTGGGTAGCCCTAAAGGAGATTCACAGCTGACAGACTACTACAATTCTGTCACCTAGTGGAGCCATAGACTAACTCACTTGTCTCACATGTCTGCCTGCTTTAACAATGTAGTAATTCTTTTTAAAATAAATCTTTACATAGTTTACTATAGGATTGGCTTTGATGTAAGCATCTTTGATGTAAGACCTAAGGTACAAATTGACTCAAGGTAAATGGAAGGTCTCTTGGAATTGGGAAAATCCTCAATATTTTGTCATTTTTATGCCTAGCAAACTAAGTCCATCTTGCTTGAGTGACAAGATAGTCCCCTTGGACAGATGGTAAAACTGTTATAATACCTTTTAAAGATAACATTTGTTCCTGGATTGGTGAAATCTAATTATGCAACATACCACCAGTTTGGGGTCTCTGTCCTGCTACTTGGCCATCTGCCCTGAGTTTGGCACCCATGGTTGCATGTCACTCCCCACAGCAGACAGTTTCTATTCTTAACAGCATTCCTCTGAGGTAGGGAAAAGCCATTTTACTGATGGTGAATAGATGTACAGAGAGACTAAGACCCAAATCTTCAAAGGCAGTTAGGCATCTCCCATTGTTTCTCTGAAATATCTCTGAGGATCTGGGCCATATCCAAGCTCATACAGGAAGCCTAGAAGAGGAGAGAATTGAACCTGGGGGCTCCCAACTAAGGTTGCCAGGTGTCCGGTTTTGAATGGGACAGTCCAGTATTTGAGCTTGAAAAAATTGAAAAAATAGAAATAAGAACATGTAAATGTCTGGTATTTTCTAAAGAAGATGTAATGTAGATTATAATGTAATGTCAAGAGTGTCTGGTATTTTTGTTGAAACCATCTGGCAACCCTACTCCCAACTCCTAGGCTAGTGCTGTAGCCACTGGATATGGCTGGTGCATAGCATAGGCTCAGCCCATCCAGGCAATGATGGGAGATCAGTCCAATTGTGCTGGCCAGGGGGTTGGGATTGTTCACAGCTGGGGCTCCTTTAGCCACATGGGAAAGGAGGGTAGCTTGCATGGGGAGAGGGGGCAAGGTCACCTGCCGCCCATATCACTACACAACTGCGTGTGTCACAGACACAGGGTGAGTACAGGGCCCGATACAGTAGAAGCTTGGGGGCTCGAGGCTCAACCAGTACAACTATAATCATTAACAGGGCCTTTAGGAACCACAGTCACCTCAAAAGGGGGAGATGCGGCCTTCGCCCTGACTGGCAAGTCATCTCAGTCTCCCCCTGGCATTGGTGGCAGCGATCGCTCCCTCCCCGCGCCTGCCAAGCAGCTGCTCTCCCAGGGACTGGTTGCGCTGATTGTCCGCGCCCGACAGGGCAGGCTCGGGAAGCGGAGGCTGCGGCAACCCCCTGAGAGGCCGGCCCCCGGGCGCCCCCGGCCCCCCCGCCGGGGCTCTGCTCCCCTGCTGACCCCGCCCCTGCCTTTCCAAAGTTGCCAAACCGGTCGGTCAGGTGATCAATGGGCGGGGATCACGTGATTGCCCGCCCTGGCTGGGGTCCCGGCGGAGGGTGAGTTGCTGCAGCGGCTGCTTGGTTGCTACCCGGCGCCAGGACCCCTCCCGGTAAGTGACCCGGCGGGCGCCCGGGCAGGCGCAGGCTGCGGGCGCTGCAGGCGGACGCGGGTTCCGCGCTGGGGGCAGGGCTGGCGCTCTGCAGCCTACATGTGCCTGCAGGGAGCGGGAGTGGACAAGGAACCGGACAGATCCTGCCTGCCCGAGAGGGGTGATTCTTTTGGACGGGGTCTCTGGCTGCACGGTCGTCGACGTGCCTGGGTGAGGGCTGTAGACTTGGGATACTAGTGACTACAGTGCCGGGAGCGCCACACGGGCACTTGAACCAGCTTCAAGGCAGGGTCACCCCTCAAGATGAAAAAATAACTTAGTCACACACATTCAGATGCGGACTAGTGGGCTGGCAGTTAGTGTCAGGAGTGTTCACGGGTGTTCCCTCTAATTTTTTTTATGTCCATCTGTGGAATGAATGTGGTGCCTGTATGCATGTTATGTGTAACACCTCATCTCCATATTGGTGCACATACCACATTCATTCTGCACGTGCATGATCGGTGGTGTAGGTGGGACTGAGGAGTTTGGAGTGTAGGAAGGGGCGTAGGGTTGGGGGCATGAGGACTCAGGCTGGGGATGAAGGGTTTGGCGTGCAGGAGGGAGCTTAGGGCTGGGGCAGAGGGTTGAGGTGCAGGGGTGAAGGCTGTGGTAGGAGGTGCAGTATCTGGGATGGAACTGGGGGTGAGAGGTTTGGGGTACAGAAGAGAGGACTCCCCCCAGTCTTCTCTCACTGCAGGAGAGGAACTTCCTCCAGTTGGGCAGGGAAAAGGCAGTTCTCTTCCTGCTACTGCAAGTCCACCCTGATAGGTATTGGGGGGAGGGGCTGGGAATTTTGTTGTTAAAATTTTGGTCTTTAAGTTGCAGAGCATAAATAGTCCCATGTGACTTGGGAAACCAGTATCACACCCTGAACAGCGAGTAAATGAAATGAATAGTTCACAGTTGTCCCATAGGCTGCCCTATGTTCATTGGACAAGTACGAATAACAAAGATGAGTCACAATCCTGGATAATTCCTGAAACCAGGGCCAAACTTATGAGTTGTGTTGCTCATAATGAGACGTTCACTGGGCTCTAACCCTGGTCAGTTCTTGACCTCTACTGAGACTTCCAGCAGGAACATCAGCTTGCGAAAGCTGTGTTGGTGACTTTTTGCAGTGTAAGCGCAGTCTGGACTGAGATTCTCCAAGGTTCCACCCAGCTCATAGAACGGTCATCAAATGATTACAGCTTGTAATTGCTACTGATTTGGGGCTGATTTGGGATAAATAAACTAAAAGGGTGTGTCTAGACTACATGCCTCCTTCGACGGAGGCATGTAGATTAGCGAGATCGGAATTAAATTTAAATGAAGCCGCGATTATTTTAATCGCGGCTTCATTTCCCTCCTCCGATCTCGCTAATCTACATGCCTCCGTCGAAGGAGGCATGTAGTCTAGACACACCCAAAGTTATTTATGACTCCATGTCCTACTTCCCCTGCCCTCAGAGCTACTTATCTCTCCATTGTAAATATGTTTAGATGATTACTGTTGCCAATGTGGGGTCCTCGACCTTCTCAGATCTCTGAGGATTGTTCCCCATTTTATCTTAGCAGACAGTGCAAAATCCAATGCTCGTTAAAGTCAAGGGAAAGACTCCTGTTGATTTCCATGGTGTTGCACTGGGCCCCTACGGAGCCCAGCATCTCAGCACAGCATGGCTGTGTCTACACTGGCATGAATTTCCGGAACTGCTTAAAACGGAATACTATTCCGTTTTCAGTTTTTCTGGAAAAGGAGCGTCTACATTGGCAGGCTGCTTTTCCGTAAAAGCCCTTTTTCCGGAAAAGCGTCTGTGGCCAATGTAGACGCACTTTTCTGGAAAAGAGCCCCGATCGATATTTTTGCGATCGGGGCTTTTTTCCGGAAAAGACTACTGGGCTGTCTACACTGGCCCTTTTCCGGAACAGTGGTCTGTAATAAGGACTTATGCCCGAGCGGGAGCAGAATAGTTTTTCTGGAATAGCGGCTGATTTTGTACAGTAGAGCATCGTTGCTTTTCCAGAAATTCAAGGGCCAGTGTAGACAGCTCGCAGCTTATTCCGGAAAAGTGGCTGATTTTCTGGAATAATTGGCCCAGTGTAGAGACAGCCCAAAAGTCATTTTTTCCTGGGAGGAGTTTGTGACTTGAGAGCCAGATCTTATTTGCCTGCAGGGGGTTCTCTCGTGTGGGAGGACTAAAGGTCGGTATTTCTCTGCTGGGAGCAGCCCAGTCAGTTTGGACATGGTTACAATCTGGCCCCTATACAAGGACCCACTTTTTTCTCAAAGGAAACATGTTGCTTTATATGGACTGGATTGAGATTAATGCCAATTTACCCTGCAGATTACAGATGCACATGACCCTTAGCCAGTGTTCCCTCTCATTTCCTCCATCCCAAGCCAAATGAATGTTCTTACATGCACCAGTGTCAGGGGATGTGTGACACAGAGGGGATGTGTGACATGTCATCTTCATATTGGTGCACCTAACAAAAATTAATGTGGCAGGAGTGGGGCCATGTGGTGCTGAGTGTAGGAGAGGGCTCAAGTTGGGGACAGAGGATTGGGTGCAAGGACTCTGGCTGGGGTGCAGTCTCTAGGGTGGGACTAAGGATAAGGGAGTGGGGATGCAGGAGGAAGTACAGGTTCTGGCCTGAGGGTGTGAGTTTTGGGCTAGGGATGAAGGCTTTGGCGTGCAGGAGGATGCTGAGGGCTCAGGGTAGGGCAGAGCACTGGGGCTTACCTCGGTGGCTCCCTGCTGGAATTAGTGAGCAGGGGTCCCCTTGCTCCCGCAGCACAGTGCTGGGTTTAGTGGGGATGGGAAGCCCCCTGCTTTCTTTCCGGCCAGCTTCAGGGCTTGGGGAGAGATGTCTCTCCCTGCTGCAGTCCTGAGCCCCTGCACAAGGTTTACTAGGAAGCTGTGAGACCACCCAGCTCAGGAGAATTTGGCTCCTAACCTACAATGCACCTCTACTGCTTGCTAGGTTTGCCTTGAATTTCTCTACACAGCTCCGCAGTACAACTTGGTCCTGACAAGGAGCATCCCTTCTCCTGCTATACTAGTCGACATGGGCCTTCCTGTGCAGCAACAGTAATAGAATCATAGAAATTTAGGACTAGAGAGGTCATCTGAAGTCCAATCCCCTGTGCTGAGGCAGGGCCTAGTACACCTAGACCATACCTGACAGGGGATTGTCCACCTTGTTCTTAAAAACCTTCCACTGATGGGTTTTCTATCACCTCCCTTGATAGCCTATTGCAGAGATGCTGGGCTTATGCTGAGTGCTAAAGAAAAGTGGCACGTAGGCAGCCCCATGTGCCTAGACACCAAAAAGAAAAGAGAAGCAGAACTGCTCTGCGGTCTGGGGCTAGAGCACAGGACCAGCTGGAGACACAGAATCATAGAACGCTAGGAGTGGAAGGGATCTCAAGAGGCAATTTAGGCCAGCCCCCTGCCCTCACGGCAGGACCAAGCAGACCTAGACCGTCCCTGTAATCTGTGTGAGGCAAATTGCCATTAATGAAGGGTGAATGGTAGCTAGTCAGGCGTCCATCCAACATGTTATTAAAAACCTTCCACTGATGGGGATTCCACTACCTCCCTTGATAGCCTATTGCAGGGTTTTAGTTATTCTTAGAGTTAGAAAGTTTCTCCTAATATCTAACCTAAATCTCTCCTGCTGCAGATTAATCCTGCTACTTCTTGTCCTCCCTTCAGTGGACGGGGAGAACATCTGATCACTCTCCTCTTCACAAACAGCCCTTAACACATTGAAAACTGTTATCCGGTGCCCCCTCAGTTTTCTTTTCTCCAGACTAAACATGCCCAGTTTTTGTAGCCTTTCCTCGGAGGTCAGGATTTCTAAACCTTTTGTCATTTTGTCACTCTCCTGTGGACTCTCTCCAATTTGTCCACATCTTTCCTGAAGTGTGGCATCCAGAGCTGGATGCAGTATTCCAGCCATGGCCTCGCCAGTGCTGTGGAGTGCTGAACTGAATGAGATTTTGTAACATGGACCCATCTCCTCAGAGAGTACTGAGACCTGCCATGCTTGATTCTTTCTATCTTATTTATCTAGGTATTTATAACGTGTCTGTTGCCCAAGTGTCTGTGGCTGACATTAGTAAAAGCAGCCAGTCTGTACAGCTGCAGTCTCCTCCCTGCTGTCTGTCTGTATCTCTCTGTGAACTTGTGACTGCTTGAAGATTTGATGCCCAATCTCCAGACTACTTCTACACCTTGTGAAACCAAAAGAGGGAACTTAAAAGCCTTGGCCACAGCTAGCTCCTTCTTTCCTATTTAGACCAAGTTCCACTTTCTAGTTGGGCAAGCAAAGCAAGGCCCCACAATCCAGGCAGCAGCATTGCTCTGTCTGCCACTTTGCACCAGATCAATTCCAAAATTTCAAGGAGTGTTCTAGGTTCCATGGGGTAGCACCCTAGTCAGCGGGGTGGCAGCCAGGAAAGCCTCGTTGGCATTGCAGTCAGGCCCACAGAATGCCCATTTGGTGCCACAGGTGCTCTCTGGTAAGCTGTTCTCTGCACATGTAGCAGACAGGGTCAGTCACACACGTTCCCTTCCCCACTCTGGCCATTCCCTTCTCTAGCTGGCCAGTCAGCCCCGCACACTAGTCAGCCCCCATCCTGCAGCCAGGCCCCTTGTCCCCCCCTAAGTTTCCTCTGTGCTGCTGTGGAGCTGCCTAACAAGCCCCGCTCGAGGTGGCTGCACAGAGCGCTGCCTCTCCCTACCAACATCCAGCATGGAGCAGCCTGGGTAGAATCATCTCTCTCCTGACCTCGGCAGCTCTGTGGCAAGGAGGGACCTCTCCCTCCTCCAGCCCTGGCAACTCTATGCCAGAGCTGGAACGCCTCCACCCAGCTGCAGCTGCTCTGTGTTGAGGCTGAGTGAGGGGCATCTCCCTCTCCCTGCTCCCTGGGCCATCATGCCCAACCCAGAACTGCCGCTGCCAGGGGGCAGGAACCTCTTCCCTGGCTCCCACCCAGCCTATCCTGGACCTGCTCTGGCTAGAGACAAGTGCCCTTCCCTCAGCTGTGCCTGCTAGAGCTGTGGTGGCAGTAGACTGGTGCCACTCACCTGGCCCGCAGCTGCAGTGATAAGAAAAGGCTGGATAGTCCTCTATCCCTAGGCCAGTTGGCACCCTAAACCCCCCCATCTCCAGGCCCACCCCAGAGTCTGCAAAGCTGGTAGTTAGGACTGGGAGCTGTGGGAGAGACTTGGACTGGCTTGTCAAGGAGACTGGGATGGGGATGGAAATGGAGGAGGCTATAAAGAATCTGGGGTGGGGAGCAGAGAGGAGGAGGGCAGGGAAAGGTTGATGGGACAGTACAGAATAGGTTATGCTTGGGGGAATGGGCAGCAGAATCTCTTACCACTAGAGCTCACGTTCCTCCAGAGCCTGGAATGGAACTTATTTTTACCGTTCCTCTGCTGTCAGCAAGTATTGTGAAATCCCGCAAAATATGACCCAGGGTATGTCTACACTACCCTCCTAGTTCGAACTAGGAGGGTAGTGTAGACATACCCTCAACCCCTCAGCGCCAAAATGTGTCCATGTGCAGAATGACTTTTGTTATGTGATACATCACCTCCATATTGGTACACATAAAAATTATTCTGCCCAGAGATATAAAAATTAGAGGGAACACTGTTGCCCACCACTCTAGCCAGTCCCTCCCCAGCTTGGCCTTGGTTTGCCTGTGGATTATACACATGGCTTGGCTGCATGAGCAATGAAGTGTGAAGTGTGCAGCCCAGTACAGGAGTGGTCAAAATATGGCCCAGAGACTGGATCCGGCCCATCTGACATTTCTGTCCATCCTGCCATGACTCCAGGCAACCAAGGAAACTTCTCTGGCCATCGCTGGACTACTGGCAGCAGATGGAGCTCCAGACCCTTTTAATCACTGCCAGAGCCCCAGCTGGGCAGTGCTGAAAGGCTGGCTGGGGGAATCTGGCACCTACCCCACCCCTTATACCCCAGGCCCTGCCCTTTCCGGAATCCCAGAGCCGTGCCTTCCCCCATCTTGCTCAAGGACTCAGCAAGTCTGTTTCCCTTCTTAATGCCCATCAGATTTTCTTCTGCTACACATTGAGTGGCTTTCATTTCTTTTACACTTAGGTTCAGTATTTAATATGAAGTAAGTTGTAAGTAAAAGTTTAGCATTAGTGTTATTAATACACATTTTACAAGTGTTCACAAAACAGTTTGCAATATACATTGCCTTCTAAGATAAGCTTTGGATAATCTTGTGTTCAGTTAATTACTGAATTAAGAATACAAGTATCAGAGGGGTAGCCGTGTTAGTCTCAATCTGCATAAACAACAAGAAGTCCTGTGACACTTTATAGAGTAACAGATTTATTGGAGCATAAGCTTTCATGGGCAAAGACCCACTTCGTCAGATGCATGCCATCAGGTGTAGGAAAACTCCTGCTGCTCTCCTGCACCAAAGGTGCAACGCTCTGCTGGCTGGGGTGGCCCTCCATGCTACAGATATTCCCCAGCCGTGCTAGGCTGCTGGTTTGCTGTACTTTGCATCTCCACTCCCTAGCAAATAGCACCCACAGTTTCTTTGCTGCTAACCTGAGCAGACACAGGTAGGAGTTCCACAGGGTGCAGATGAGGAAGAAAGCACCGTTTTTGCACAGGTGTAGGGGTGCAAGAACAATCTATACAGTGGGGGTGCTGAGTGCCACTTAACCAAACTGTATATGAGGGGAGCCATTTCAAGCCAGGGGTGCAGCAGCATCCCTAGCACCCTTTGTTCCAGCACCTATGACCGTGTTCAACACTTTCAATCCCAGCTATTTGAAAATAATGTCAGGGCCCTCTAATTGTGGGCTTTTTGAAATCTCCTGATTTTAAGCCAAAAATATTAACTTTGGGGTTCTTTCAGTCTTTGGGAGATATGGCTTTTAGGGGTCACATTCTCAAGCTTTTCCTACAGCCATGAAGCCCTGGGAGTAGGGATGTGAAGGACAAGTCGACTGTCTGATAAGCAAATGCTTATCAGATAGTCCACTAGTAGCTGCCCCCCTTGCTGCCTCTATCAGAAAGAGGCAGCAGAGGGGGAAGGGGGGAAGAAGAGGGGTTACTTTAAAGCAGCACTGCCGCTTGAAACCTGGGGCTCCACATAGTGCTGCTGTTTTGAAAAGCTGCGTGCATCTCGGGGCCAGCTGGGGTGTCCTCAGGCTGCAGGTGACGTTTCAAAGTGGCAGCGCCGCGTGGAGCCCAGTTTCCCAAAACTTTTTGTTCATCCCAGAGTGCCAGCACCTCCAAAGGGAACAGTTGGAAGGCACGAATGGCTAGAGCGTTATGCAGAGCGGGGAACAAGAAATGGGAGCAGAGGTTCTGGAGAGGTTAGGGAGCAAGGAGATGTTTATGTGGAAGGAAAATGAGGGGAATCAGTACAGATTCAAGAAGAGCAGAGAGACCTGATGCTGGCAGAAGGAAAGGGAGACTATTCTGGCAGCAAAGGGGGTTAAGTGGCCTGGAGGGAAGCAGGCAGGGGATGGCTGAAGAGGAGGAAGAAGCTGTGGCCAGGTGAGGACACAGTCTAGAGATGTAGTGTAGATAAGCTGCAGGCTCTGACTGTAAACAGTGCATACGAAAGCAAATACGTTTCTTCCACTCAGCCTGTTATAGAAGGTCACCTAAGGCAGAAGTGAGGATCAAAGATTAGAAAAAAAAAAAACCAAGCCAAGTACATGACCAGGTGCGTGTGCACTGCACTGTAAACTCGGGTCTGTGGGATCTGGGCTTTGTGTTTGTAAAGCTACGCTTGAGAGCCCACACAGCATGGCAGGCCCAGGTTTGCAATTGCTGGCCCCAGGTCTCACAGCCCTGCTGACACGTCCAAACTGCACTGCACTGACCTTCTGACTCAGATCTGCAGCTTGAGCTGCGCTCATACAGCCCAGGTGCTGAGGGCTTACTGTCTCAAGTCAGGCTGACTTGTGTGTGGACAGAAGCAGGGCTGAGGCTCAAACCCAAGTCAAAGCCTGGGCTTAGTATGCTGTGTTGACACTAGGGATCTTAAAATTCATTTATTCAAGTGAATATATAACCCCTGACGTTTTCATCAGTTACACACTGGTGGGGGGCATTCGGTTCCCTGGAAGCTGGTACGTGCAGGGACCCAATTTAAAAGCCAGCTGCTGGCAGACACTGGCTCCTGCCCGCCCCCCCACACCGC